CAGAACGAGCAAATATAGACGGCATACAGCATAAAATACAGGAATAATCCGAGGAAGACTTCGGTTCAGCAGAGCGATGAGTGAACCGACCGCACGCACCAGACGCGAGTGTGCGAAAAGACAGCACAAAAATTTGTCGTCTTTATACATAGCGCTTTCCGTATCCAATATGGATACGGAAAGCGACAAATTTCTCGGTTGGTATGAAACTAAACTGAAGCCATGAATTTCTAATTGACTGTGAAACTAGGTACCGATCAGGTATAATAGTTTCAGTGCACAAAACCTTATCCTTACCTACCTACTACAGGCACAATTGTGAAACTAATTTCTTGTGATTGTGATCAGTTTACATTTTCAGTGAAGGGTGCGTTTATACTTCCACAGAATGAACGTGTCATACAAAGTCAAATTGTGAAAAAAGGGCCGGTACAAGCAGCATTTATCGTATATGACGATTTTAGCTACTACAAAAGCGGCGTCTATGTGGTGAGCAGATATTTGTTATACTATATGCATTGGGCTGCCGTAGAGTACAAGTAAATGCTCTCTCCAGCTAACAGTGCACCCCGAGCTGCAGCGCGAATACATTGACTCTAAAAGGTGCGACTTGCTGTTAGCTTGACTTGGTCACTTGTTATGTACTTTTTTCAATCGCAGCTCCAATTCTCTAAGCTATCTATGAAGTTCGAGTAGCCTTTTCCGCACGTGCATACGTAGCAATCACCTATTGCTTCCACTTACAAGAATAAAGGGAGGACATGGGAAGATACGGTGAGAGTAGTGAATAATCTGCTAAAAGTCGGTCTTTCCTATTCGTAGGACTAGGGTGACTGCAACCCGCTGGGTGCTGTTGGAGATGAGCACGTGAGGAAAGACTTCTAGCTCAATCGACCCAGCAAATCTCTAGGCTTAGCAGTGTGGTATTGTGTTTATTACTCAAAACGGTTAATCTTTTTCTTTTCTCAACACACAGCCGGTAAAGAACGAGGAGCACACGCTGTGAAAGTTATTGGACGGGGAGTTCAAAACGGCACCAATTACTGGACAGTTGCCAATTTTATGGAATACTTATTGGGGAGAAGAAGATGTGTGAAGTTCTTGTTGTCAAAAACATTTTTCCGAGAAGATGGTTGTGACGCTTGATTTTAATTAGGAAAAATGTTCTTACTGGCTGTGCAGCCTAAAGAGGGACGAGATTATGTAATACTGAATTTTATGGGCATCAGTGTATTCGAGCGCACAGTTCATAACACTTTTGAGCTACCTTTTTAAGTTCAAAAGCAGAAGTGCCGGTAGGTGGGTGTAGGTAGAAATTCTTGAGAGTTCCTAGAATCTAAAGTTTCCTAAGAGTAGTGAAAAAAGAGAGTCGTATCAGTTCATCATGGCGGAGGTCTTATCATGATGGAAGGGATTTTTGGATGAGAGTTCTAATGTTGCAGCTGCATTCCAGAATTGCCGTCCACCATCGCCATGGGTCACGACTATTTGGTGGCAATTCCAACATGGGTGTCCCTTGTAATTGGTGCAGCCCCTACAACGCTGCTGAAACTCGCACATTCCTGGGTGTGGGCGTCGACGCATCAGGTTTGTGAGCACTTATTGCATCCTCTACATACAAGGGCCGTTTTTTCATCGACAGCGCATCATGAGTGTCGTACTGAGAGGCCAAAGTAGCTTTTGGCTTTCTGATTGGAAAACTTGTTGACCATTTTTTTGGTGAACTAAGCCTCATATTGGACCAGTGTCGACTGATAAGGGATCAGAGTAGAGGGGAACTAAGCATTCAAAGCAGGCGAGAAATGCTTGATAGTGAGAGTCCACACCTATCTCGTAGAGAGGACGAATTGCATCATTTGATGTTCATGTGAATGAATCTATCATGCTGACGGGATCTCTAATTTATATAACTTCATTGAAAGACTGGTAAAGAAGTGATTACAGTGGAAATCCCTCATGCTTATCAGACCTTTTTTAAGGTTACTTCCGCATACTACGTGGTGTGAACCATTGCGAATTCGAATCAGAAATGATTGCCGGAGATTTCAAGCACGATATCTAGTGATATCAATTGATCTATCTTGTGAAATGAAACGTTTAAATACTGATTAGTAATGCAAAGATACTGTCCATATTGATAGAATTGTGTTATCGAATCGGTTACGGTCACATTTTGTCAGCTTCGACAGTTAGTTGAGAGTTTTTTAGTGTGAAATTGCTACAAAAGAGCTCCATACGGATTAGTACAAAATCTGAAAAGATTCTCTGCTTTTTCAATCTCTGTTCAAATCCTGCGGGTGCTTCTGAATCTGGCCTGCGAAAAATACCTCATTGGAATGCGGTTTGAGGCATTGTCTACAGAAGTCCCAGAAGCAAATTGGGAGGGGGTGATCAGTTGCGATGAGGGATGCGCCCCAAGCGCGACTTCCATTCAAAATCGTAGTGGCAGTTTGGAAGCTTTTGTAGCATATACAATGAGCTGCAGTGGGCGCCCGAAATACAAGTCAGTGCTTCTAGTCTCCCAGATGAGTATGGTACCAATTCACCAACCCGGAAGGGAAATGGAAGGCTTGGTTGGCCTAGGCGAGAAACAGGATTCAAACAAACAATGCGTGCGTGGTAATGCGTCATTTACCACTACACCAGCTCGTTTCCCGGAAAAGTACTTCGCAACATATTTATTGTATTGTTAAACAATTCAGATTAATATGACATACGGTCCCCAAGGTCAAGTTAGCTCTAGCTTCGGAGTTGTTTATGATGAATTATTGAATTATGTTTATGATGATTTTGGTTGGCTTTTAAAGGCTCCCTTCAGCTTTATACACACTGAAAGAAAGGAAAAGATATCCCGCAATCGTACTTGAAATATGCCGCTCATTTGTTGGATACTGTGAGTGAAGTTATCAATGATTATGACGCAAAAATGGAATAATAATAGAGATTGTATGAATCCAGAAAAAGCCATTCCCAAGTTCATCACGGTCTGTATCGCAGCTGCTATCAATCGCATTATGTGAAAATTTGGTTGAGCTTTGTACATAGGCATCTAAAGCTAGATTTATTTTTGCAGAAATTTTGCTGTCTTAAATATTTCCCCACCAACCTCGTGATTACTTTCGCCCTTTGGATTATGACGAAGTGCGAGTTTAACGTTTTTCCTGTGACAGGACTTCTGATAAAGTCATTCTGATTCTGGTGATAAGGCACTGCAATTTTCACGATTGCACTAACATCCTGTTATTTGGTTCGTTCCTCCAGTGACTCTTTATCAGATCAAACGCGGAAATGTTGGTGAGTACCAATTATTTACTTCGCTCAAATCAGTCACTAAATGGGTCGCTGTATAGATCAGACTAGAAAAAAGTTGGTTATCTACTATTTACAAAACAGGGAAATATTGCAATCACGTTTTTAGTCTACCTAGGTCCGGTATTACTGCCAGACTTGGAATTGTCCCATTCAAAAAAATCTATCAGACCTCCGTTAATACCGATTGCTTTACTTATTCCATTTGAGACAAAAGTTGACATAATAAGATGGTAGTTTAGGTCTCACTCATATTCATCGCATTCTTCGTCTCCAATTCTTTTCAAAGAAGGCTTACAGTAGGTGAATTGCTTTTGAAGAATATTTCACATTCAAACACGATTAGTTAAAATAACAGCAGCCGAGCCGTTCCCTTTGGCGCTACAAAAGGGCAACGTTACCGGCATTATGGTCAGTTTGGCAATGAGCAGATGAGATGAGCAATGAGCCTTCCATGAAAAATCCCAACACGAGCTTTATAATAGTCCGATTTCTTAGGAACGAAGGTCCTAAAACTTTCACCTCGAGCAGCAACGGTCCGCAACATTACTCGCAACATCCACCACTTCACTAATGTCGGAGCTTCTAGATCTTGACAAAGGAACCTAGCAAGCTTTTTGAATAACTCCATTCCTTCACACTGGGCTTGATTTCCGTGCCATTTCGTTCCATTTCACACATGGTTAAGATGCTTTGCGATAACCACTTTGTAAGCTGAGACCGTTGGTATGGGGAAACCCATGGCAGTTATCAAAATTTTAATTCGGCAGCCCCCTCCCCAAATCATCTGCATTTTAGAAATCTAACTGAGCAAAAGAACACGACATAGCTTGGAAATCTGTGCCATTGCTCCGGAATGATGAGCTGCGTACACCCCGTAGTTATTCGTTAGAGTTGAACATCTATATACAACGGAATGCTCACATTCAAGACCAATTTCGAAACCGTAAATCACCAGTTCAGATATGATGACATAATATTTTGGCTGTGGCAAGGCCACATAGATGAAGTCTCACGAAATTCACTGACTCTTCCGAAAATAAGCAACTATTTTGACTTTACCACTCTTCCAGAAGAGTTCGCGGCTCAACCGATACCAAAGTATGCACAAGAGTTGACTGGAAAAGCGTTAGAGGAATATGTCAACAATAAACAGTCGTTTTTTAAGGTCTGTTGTTCTGTGATACTTGATAGTCAATTAGTTTTTTCCTAGACAGGCAGATAATACTACTCAAGGTTTATCTAGGAATGAAGCGAGAATCAAGCACCTTCCCCTGAAGGACGCACTTCCTCTTTTGGATTTATATGAAGGGAGTGCATGGTGCTTAGTTTGAACCGTTGGTGCTCGGTTTCACCTGAAAACTTTCCTCAGCGTGAAACATCATGCAGAATGTCTG